TTTTTTTAAAGGGCTAATCTCCGGACGGACATCATCGCAGGCATGGATGTGGCCGACCGAGAGAGGCCCGCGGGTCGCTTTTTATTATTTTAGTCCCCAGATATTCCCGGCCTGGCCTGGCCGACTACCCAAGTCGAAGAAGACATTTCACTACTTCTTTTACGTCGCCCGCCTCCGCCTCCCACTCCCCTAAAAGTCATGGCGGTATGGAGGTGTCACTGCGGATGGGCCTATAAACCTAGAGCTGGGCACTATGTGGTCAGTGTGTGCCCCCTCCCCCCTACCTCCCCACCATCCTTCTTCTCCTCCCCCTCGTCCTCGTCGTCCTACTCCTCTACCGAAGCCCCCCCCCCCCCCCCCACCCAACGCGCTACCATCGTTTTGGAAGCGGCTATTTCGCGTGGTAGCCCATCCCATACCCCGCAACCCTAAAGGTCATCGTCATCGGGTACGCTTGCTGCTGCCGCGCTGCTCTCTCTCGAACACCACGCCGAGGGCGCAGGCCAGTGCGGGGGGAGGGCGGTGGTGGAGGGCGGTGACAGGAGTGGTGGGGTTGTGTGTATCCAGTTTCCGGGGCACGCCGCCGACCGCCGACCGCGGGGCCACGGGCCAGTCGGTCAATCGACGGGATACGACTGAATGGCCCGGTAAGCAAGCCACCCCTCTACGTAGTGAGTGGGACACAGGGCGGCCGGGAGGGAGGGTGGGGGGGGGACTAGGGATAGAAAGAGGGGGGAAAGCATGTAATAGACGGTTCCCGCTGTGCCCATTTCAAGAAGAATTAAGGAGATCGTCACCGGAAACAGTTCTGAAATTACGGTAAAAACTAGTGCAAATGAACCTTTACAGTTACATGGACTTTCCCGAGGTCATCTAAGTGAAACTGTGCAGTTAAATACGAAAAATAAGGGCACTTTTCGTACTGGTTCCGGTCCTGATTTCCTTACTTCTTCTCGAAACGTGCAGAGCGGGAACCGTCTATTGAATTAAGTTTTAATGGGGTCCACGCAAAGGGGGTAATAAGTCCCTGTAAAAGTAGCCGCTCGCTCACTCAAAATATTAGTATTGATTGAGCGGGTAAACATCTGACTCTATTAAAAAGATGTTTCTCTTCCCATTTCCTGGGTGGTGGTTTAAAATATCGCAGAGTTAAAGTCTGTTTTAAACTCTGATAGATCGAACATAAAAGGATTTGGCATACTTAACAAGACAATGGTTAGGAATTTGTAGCATTTATTGCCGTAGTATCCTTTACGTTATCGTTGCCATTGTTGCCGTTAAACTTTATAATGAGGGGTAAGGGGGGAGGGGTGGAGAGGGG